TGATGTCTAATTATTTGTGTCTTCGAAATGAAACATTTCCCCCACTCGAGGGATTGACAGGTTTTCTCTCCAGTGTGGCTGCTCCCATGGTTATTAAGATCTGAGAGCTTATTGAAGATTTCCCCATCATCCAAGCATTGAAAGGGTTTCTCTCCAGCACAGGTTGTCCAATGTGTCACAAGCTGTGATCTCACAATGTATTCTTTCCCACACTGAGGGTAGTGCCCGGGTGTCTCTTCCTTGGGATTTGTTTGCTGTGCTCTCGGATCCTTGTCTCCTGCCCCCCCGGTAATAGATTCATCCACTCTCTTCCCTGGGTGGTTTTCCAGAAGCCTCTCTGACCTGTGCCAGTTTCCCCAGGCCTTTTCCTGCTCCAAGCACTGGGAAAAATTCCCTTCAGCTGTTCCCACAAAGGTTCCCTGCAGTTCCACTTCCCCGGGAACTTCCTCATGATGATTCCCCTCCTCATTCTCACTCCCTCGCTCAGCACCTGCTGGGAGAGACACAATCCAGACAGGAGTCATTGTGCTGGGGAGAAAGAAGAAGAGCACCAAGCGAAAACCCAACATGAAGACTGAACAATTGGACTCCGCCTCCTCATCCCACTCAAACAATCACAGGGAAGGAAAGCTGGGAAGCAAACTCCTGCAGCTAAGAGGTTGGGTGGAATAGTGTGAGCTATATCTCTTGACTGCAGCCCTGTCCTGGCTGAGATGAGGAAGAACTGAGGGCGCTTACTCACACCATATTTTGGGATTCTCAACTTCTTCCTTCATTCCCTAGATGGTTTCTGTGTCAGTCCACACCTGTAAGGGTGTATCTCGGAAGCCTTCTTTCATTGCAGTCCCAGAGATCGGGCACCCATGGCTCTTCCCCTCGTTCCAGCCGGGCGATCAGCTCAGGTTTGGGAAGGGGGAATCCTGTGCAGAGGGTGAAATCAGACCAGATCAGGGTGCATGGAGCATTGGTGGAGTATTTGTCAGAAAGGACATGCCGTGAGTGGAACCTGTCCCTGCGCTCTGCTGGAGGAACTTGGAATCCAAGAGGATGGGAAAATGGTCACTGAGCCCGCTTGTGCAAAGGAACTTGGCTGGGGAGGTGAGTTGAATTATTATTACACCCTCACTAGGTGTTCCCAAGATCTGTGCACTCTGGTGGCCTTGCTGACTCACACACAGCTCTGGACTTAAGCCCCTGCCTCTTTCTAAACCTGCAGAGGCCAGAGCCCTCCCCATGGCTGGAGCTATTCCCAAGGAGGAAGGTGAACAGGGATTGTGTGTGCAGCCACGAAACGACACAGACAGGACAATGCTGGATTTATGCCCCTTTGAAAGATGGAGGGGTGGGGATGGTTTAGCTTGTCCATTGGGTTTTGACACACGTGGCACTAGAGATAGCACAGAAATGCAAAGCTCTCTCACACGGCAGCTGTGCATTATGGAACTAACTCGCCTCTGATCTAACTGACTTGGGAAGAACCTGACCAGATTCAGACACGCAGATCCCACGGCTTCTAGTATCTCAGGGTATGCGAATCCCTTACCCAACGAGGTCACCATCTCGTAGTTCTCCTGCATGACATGCCTGTAGAGGGCTCTCTGAGCGGGGTGAAGCAGAGCCCCCTGCCTCTGGGTGAAATACACAGCCACCTCCTCGAAGGTCACCGGCATCTGGAACACCAAAAGCCCCCACTCATTACCTGCTGTTTCAGCCACAATCCCGCTAGTCACACGGGAAGAAGGATAAAGAAATGGAAGCTGTGGGAGGGCCAGAGTAGCAGAATCCTACCCCCACCCTGCTCAGAGGAGCCAGGAGGCTTCAGGGGATGGGGAGAAGGTGAGAGCTCCTTGTTTCCCCAGCAGACGGAGCAGGGCATGGTCTTTTCATTTCACACACACCTGCCAGCCACAGGCTGATATGGGAAGCAGAGCTCTGAGCCGGGGACAGGGACAGGAATCCCAACACTTCCTTTCATATTTCAAAGCAGCCTCAGGCTAGTGGGGTCTCACTCCAGCACTGGGAGCCTTGAAAATGTTCCCAGCCCTGTGCAATGGGGTTATATCCTGTTTGAGAAATGGGGGAATGTCCCGTCTCCCCTCCCCCATCACCAATGGGCCCACTCAGAAAATCAGCAGGTTTATCACACACTATCTCCTCCCTGCCCCTGCCCAGGAGCTCCCTGATAATCCCCTACCTGAGCTGGCTCCATCACAGACATTTCCCTTCCCTGTTTCCTGGAAGACGGGCCCATCTGGAGCGAAATGTGGACGTGATTCTTCAGCCTGTCGGGGTGATTGGGAACATTACAGAAGGGGCTTCAGTCCATGTCACCCCCCGATTCCACCCCAGACTCTTCAGACACTCCCAGTAACAGTATCTCTTATCCAAATGCTAGGTAAAAAGCAGAACTAAAGGGGCCACTTTGGGGGATTTCTCCACACTGCCGTGTAAACCCCTCTCCCTTAGGAACAGCAGGAGCCCTCTGATGGCATCACCTAAAAATAATGACCTGCCCTGGACTCCTGCAGCAGCCCCCAGGGACAGGCAGGCAGAGGCTGATCTCTTTGGCCCATCCACACTCCCTGCCTGCCCAAAGCAGCAGTGACTCCGGTGTGGCTGAGATGTTTATCCTGCCCAGAAATCAGACCAGGGCCCTGGGCGACCGCAAAAGTCATGAGACACAGACCCCACCAGCACGGGTGTGTCTGACAATAACACACTGGGAGCAGGGAGTGAGTGTTGGGGCTGGGTTTTTGCCTCTGTCCCAGTCTCCCCACACACCCCCTTTCCTCGCAGTGCCCCCACTCACATCTTCCCCCATTCTATCCTCGCTTCCCTCTGCCCCCCAATTCCGTCAATCCCACCGCATCGCCCCATATTTCCTTCAGTGCGCCCCGGCCCCCAACCCAGCCTGCCCCCCGCATCCCCAGCACCCGCCTCCTGCGCCCTCCGCCCCCGCCTTCCCTCACCCCCTGCACCTCTTTATTTTCCTCCCTCTGCAGCCCGCGTGGGACGGGGGGACACAGCTCCCTCGGGGGTGGGTTATTTCTCTTACCTCCCCTCCGAGCGGGGCCCCCCTGGGGCAGGGGCCGGGCCCGGAA